CACACCAACGAAGTAGCAGAAGATAACAACTTCAAGCAAAAAAACTTTCGAAAGCAGAGCTAGAAACTAGCTACCACTCGAGGTACGTCTCCAAGGAACCCCTCGCCTAGTATAAACCCCCATATAAATTATTGACTTATGTAGGCTGCGACACATTAATATGTGTACGTGGCTGGGTTAAGTGTTCAAACTACCTGTACTTTGTCTCTCAAATAACACCACATACTTTACACATACCTTCGAACTTATGGACTTTCATCCACACAATAATATATTATAGTAACTCGCATGCCTACTACACGTACGTCCATCCTCCTTTTCTCTAACTGCTCAACTCCAGAAGTTTGATAAAGGAAAAACAGAGAAGACATAACTATCCTGCATGGCTGTAAAATTTCCAACATGCTATGGCAACCATGTTTAAACTCTCTTGGCGCGGCAGGCATTGTATAAATGCGGGCGCGCGCATAAGCCTTCTCCCGGAAGGCATATAGATATATGCCCGTTTTGTCAGGAGCGCGAGCGCTCCACATTACCGACTATTTCTCTCGCTACTCACCTCTTTCTGGCTCCTGATCTCTTCGTCTGCCAAACGGACGACACACCCTTGCATTACCTCATAGTTTTTCACGCTAAAACGCGCGAGCGGAAGTGGGCGGCTGCTTTTACAGCTGCTGAATATTCATAATGTGCGCAAAGACAGACGGATACGCGCGCGTCTCTACGACCAGCCTCTCCCCGTTTTCTGCGAGTGTTCTCCATATCTAGCCCCTCCCCTGTGCTCCTGGAAGCAATGGCTACTAGAGCAACCCTCTCAGTTGAAGATGTTCTCGGTGAACTAGATGGAAATGAAGAGTACGAAAGTGATAGTGAGGATGACTTTGACGGGTATGTAGACACTAGAGAGAGAACAGAAGATGTGCAGCCAGTTGTGGAGGACAGATGGAGGTCGGGGCTAATGTAGAGGTGGGTTCACAGAGTAGCAGTGATGATGCGACCCACTCCCGGAGTACACACTCCAGTCTGGTTGTGCGGTTCCTGTGGAAGGAAACAGACCAATTGACTCTTCTCACTGCTCGTCACAGAAGACATGCTGCAAAACACAGTCACACAGACCAACCTCCATGCGCAGCAGTACATTGACAACAATGACATCCCTCCACACTCCAGAGTTCGACCCTGGTCGAAGAGTCTGTTTGATGTAAATGAGCTGAGGAGATTCTTCGCCATCATCATCCTCATGGGCCTTGTGAGGTACTCTCAGATTGAGAGCCACTGGGCAGTACTCTGGCCTTTCACCAATACCCACTGCTCGAGTGTAAGCCCTGCACACAACCCTATGTACAGATATAAAATGTACACATGAGCAAACTTCAAGTTTTGTCTCAATCTCCCACAGATCATGAAGAGAGACCGGTTCACCCTCATCCTCCCGATTCCTTCACCTAAACGGACAACCGGAACTACAAGAAAAGGGGAGAACCTGGTCATGATCCACTCTTCTGGCTCCGCCCTTTCCTTGAACCCCACATTGCACACTTCCAGCAGTGTTACACACTCTCGAAGGAGATCTGTGTGGACGAAACGATGATCGGCTTCAAGGGAACGCTACATTCATACAGTACATGCTAAGAAGCCAACAAAGTGGGGTTTGAAGGCTATGTACTAGCGATTCCACCACAGGCTACATGTACAACTGGATTCTGTACACAGGTAAAACTATACAGACACAACCATCACATATAATGAATGTCTTTCATACTCTAGGAAAGGACGACTCACTCGGCGATCCTCTGGGGATGACTGCCGCAGTAGTACTGCGTCTAGTGGAGCAATCAGCGGTCTGGGTCACCACATTTACATGGAAACTTTTACACGTCTCCAGCACTCTTCTTGCGCCTCCGGTCACTGGATTCGAGCATGTAGAAATCTTGCGACTGACTCGACGTGGAGTCCTGCGGAGGCGAAGATGAGGTTGGAGAAGGAGAGAGGCGTCTTGTTCCTGTAGACGAAGGGATGAGTGTGGTGTGCAGTGGCATGACAAACGCAGTCGTATCTGTCCTGTCCACAATTCACGACGACGCGCCTGTTCCAGTGGAGCGACGATCGGACGTCCTCTGGTTGGCGGGAAACAGTGGAGAAGCCCAGGCGGTGGTCGAGTACAAACAGTACATGGGTGGTGTCGACCGTGGGGACCAGCTGTTGACTTACTACGGCTATCCCCACCGTACCCGCAAGTGGTGGAAGCGTGCCTTTTTCTTTCTTTTGATGCAGCCGTAGTCAACAGCTACACGTTATACCGCCAGCAACAACATCAACAAGGTCGCACCTGACACACGAGCAGTCAGAATCGAGCTAGCTAAAAGACCTCCTTGCTGCTGCTAACAGCCCGTCACAGGCCCCACCACTTCTCCCTCTTCTTCGTTAACGTGGACACAGACAAGAGGTACGGCAATCCTCAGTCTCGCCTGCACGAACGACATTTCCTGGCCAGCTCGGGAAGACAGCGACAGGAAAGCAGATCCAGCAGGACTGCACGGTCTGCAGCAAGCCTAAGGGCAGAGGGAGGAAAACAACAACGTTCTGCTGCAAACAGTGCCAGCTCCCGATGTGGTGGTGCCGTGCTTTGAACTGTACCACACAAAAGTAGACCCACACGTTACCTGTAGCAATAATATGTAACCCCTGCATTACCTGTAGTCCCCTTAGAGTTACATGTTGAAGTATGAGTATATATCATTATTGAAAGGCCTACCGCTTCCAGGGCCTGGTCTCCTTGCTTTGGATCACAGTCTTCACGACTCCTTCGGCAGGTAAGCTTGTCAGTGAATCATCACAGCAGGCTGAGAGACTGGTAGAGCGCTAACTAGAGTACTACACGTGTCCCACAGGACGGCTTACTGCGAAGAATCCGCACGCGCGTGTATGCGGCGCGCGGACACCCGTGGCGGCGCGCGTAATAATTGCGTAACCGCGCGCGCGCCAAAAGAGTTTTAATGAGTCTTATATACAGTCAATGAATGTTGTAAAAGATCAAAGTACATATTTTGTTTTCATTTCAGTTAGGAAAGAGAGCAAAATTTTTCAACCACATTAATTTTGTTCAATCTAGGATGATACAAGCAGTGCAATGTGATGTCAGGAGGTTAGAGTCCTGCAGTAATTATTAGGATGAGTGGGGTAGTTTGAACTCAAGTAATGCCGCATAGTATATAGCTATATACCTCAAAATATTATTAGGGATGGTGTCATGTAGCTTGTGGTCGTTGCTGTGTATAGCTTTGTGTCAGTCACATCTTTTTCCTCATCCTTGTAAATGCTGTTTCCTACCACACCTGGAGTAGACATTTACATAGGTCTCAACCTTGCAGAAGGAGTTGGTGGGACTATGAATATTAATAATTGCTCAATATCGGGACATACGCGCAAACAACCTAGTGCACATGCGCGTATGGTCCAGTTCAGGAGCTGCTCACTAGTATTTACCCGCGATCGCTCGCCGGTTACGAGTCTATATTTGAAGCAACAGTACACTGACATATTATACGCAGTGCTAAAGAGTACCAGAGTCCAGTAGTTGTCCATGATTCGTTGCTCTGCTGCAAACTGTTGGTTTTTTTCACTACCGCGCGAGTACGACCTAGAAATCGGAACAAGCAAGGTGATTGGCGGGACAATGCTGTGAAAATCGGTACACTCCCGCCTAATTTGGGATAGTTGAGACCTATGCATTTAGCATAAATAGCCACCAGTTTTGTAAAGGGTAGATGAAAGCAACATCAAAGCTCTGACCGCCACATCAAGTGCGCGACTGACCCCTTTGATCATACATCCATCCCTACATCTTTCTTTAACTCACAACCTCAACTGTGATTTGTTATGAGTTAGTATACCTACGCCAATAACAAGTGCCTACACATTCTTAGACAGAGCTGAGTAAAGAAGATTGTAGGAATGGACAATTTTTGTTTTCAGCTGAAGCATCTTTCTTGTTGGTAGCTATACTTTTTCGTAATTTACGCCGTCCCTACATCCCCTTCAGTTTGAAGAAATTATTTTTCCACTTGTACTACGTAAGTACTATCGTACTTAGTGATGTATTGTATACTTAGTGTGTCATGTAGCTACAGCACAGCTATACTGGATATGGACGATTGCTTTAGGCAAACTGATTGAGATGTGAATTGTCTACAGCTAGGTACATGAAACCACCATGAAGGGAGGCTGTAAGTGTAAGGGAACATGTTGAAGCTATGGACAGGAATGTGGATTGCATTAGTAAATGTCTAAGTAATGTACTGGAATGCGTACACAATGCATCTGCGTATATGACGAGCGAAGTAACCTCCGTACATGATGGTTTGCGAGTGTGCATTGCCCTTATGCCAAGTCGAAGATGGGCTCACTCAACAAGAGTACTGCATAACGAATGACTCTAGTATCCTGGTAATTGTATGATTGATCACCTCCGCATTTTGTAATTAATAGCCCTAATTGGACAAATGCAGCTCTACATTATAAGCAAGCCAATACTTACTACAAAATGACTGCATTGGTTCTTGTCCAAGGAATTTCTGTTCAAATAAACAGGAATGTACCAATACTCTTACCAACACAAAGATTTGAGTTGAGTGAGGTTGAAGTGAGGAAATCACTAGTACGGTCGTAGCTACTTAGTATATAGGGAAGACAAAGGTCATCCTTCATATGCCCATACATTTGAGATTTCCATGTTTCACTTTCAGTTCAATCAGATCCAACTTTTGATACGTCAGACTGATCGTACCAACACAAGAGCATGTATCCAAAAAAATGGCTTATATGCATAATCGGTACTTGATTTATTCGAAGAAGTCAGTTTTCAAATTTCTTTCGTTGTTGTTGTTCAGTTTTAGACAAGTATCTCAAAAACCACTTTATAATGAAAGTGCCTCGTGCGAACTGCGCATGTGCGGTAGCACTAAATGGATGGGCTGGGCTTGTATGTCTTTACTCGTGGTATCCCGTGGTAGCTAGCGGAGAGAGTCTGACACAGGGCTAGGTATAGTAGTAATATGTCTAAGTAATGTACTGGAATGCTACACAATGCATCTGCGTATGACGAGCGAAAGTAACCTCCGTACATGATGTTTGCGAGTGTGCATTGCCTTAGCAAGGTCGAAGATGGGCTCACTCAACAAGAGTACTGCATTAACGACACAACTATGGTATCTGGTAATTGTATGATGATCACCTCCGCATTTTGTAATTAATAGCCTAATGGACAAATTATGCAGCTCTACATTATAAGCAAGCCACAATACTTACTACAAAATAATGCATTGGTTCTTGTCCAAGGAATTTCTTTCAAGTAAAGAGGATGTACCAATACTCCTTACCAACACAAAGATTTGAGTTGAGTTGAAGGTTGAAGTTGAGGAAATCACTTGGTATCGCTATTTTGTTATCTCGTTGCGCGTAGTCGCAGAAAACGTGGTAACAGACTGACGGACAGACAGATACACTTACGAACCAAGTACTACAAGTGGAATAATCATTTCTTCCAAATGAAAGGGGGATATAGGGATGGCTTGAAGCACCAAAAAGGAAGAAACAAGGGGTCATTACACAGCTAAGATGCACAAAGCTACATGACACCATCCCTATATCTTTGTTCGATATTAAAAAGTTAACTTTCCACAAAACAAAGATATAGGGATGGTGTCATGTAGCTTTGTGCATCTTAGCTGTGTAATGACCCCTTGTTTCTTCCTTTTTGGTGCTTCAAGCCATCCCTATATCCCCCTTCATTTGGAAGAAATGATTTTCACTTGTTTTCCCACTATTTTTAATAGCTCACGACAACACTGTATTTTATTGTTACAGTCACTCTGATGTTCATAGGTATGTTGTAGATAGGTTACCAAGGACAAACTCTAATTGTTGAAAGCTGTAGCTAATGGGCTGCTAGTGCCTCAAGCAGGAGCTAGCTAGATACCATATTCACCTCAGGCATTGTCTTCAACAAGGATGTAATTAGGTTATGGCACACGGTGTGGTAGGCTTTGGTAATCAGGGCTCCAACCTAGGGGGGGACAAATGAAGGCCCCTTTTTTGCACCTGGCAATGCTCGCGTAACACCGCGCTGACTCTGCCAACCGTGTAAATCAACAGCAAAACGCAAGCTAGCCAGTTGGAAATGTGCACACTGACACACAGAAGGCACTGGAGGCTAAGGAGTTCCTCTGCAGGTCTGTCAACTCGCCTGGTAACAATACGCGCGCACAGCTCGACAACGCCTCTGCATAGCGCATGCGCGCGGCTTACTGATGCTGAGTTGGCAGGCAAATGACGTTGTTCAGTGTCGACCATGGAAGAGCTCCATCATCTACCGTAGTGACTTACAGCAGGAAAGAAACGGTCGCTTGATGTCGTGCACACCTCCGGCGAAAATGGAGACGTTCAGTGAAAAGATCAGCGCTTCAACTGGTTCTGGTAAGGAGATAGCGGGATTGAGGAAGAAGAAGAAGAAGAAGAATTTATGATGATGATGACACGAAGTCGCGTATGAGCGAAGTCTGGCGTGGAGAACTGAAGGTGCGATGATGAGTGAGGTATTTGGGAACATGTATAGTAGATATGGGCCCGTAGACTATTGCTAGTGTGTTTTGAAGGCCTAGGAGTCATTCTCAACGAGGTTTTGTACGCATATCACGTGAGATTTCACTCGTGCCATATATCTACCGACGCTATACCGTGATGGGCTGGTATCGTCGCGAGACAATCGCCCACGCACAAATTATTCTGCGCATGCTCACGTGTATTAGCTGCATTGATAATGGGAAGGCCAAGGCTAGCAGCTGGCCCACCAGTTAGCGGGGAACGCGCTGTGCCAAGTTTGTTGCACTTAGTCACTCTGCATTGCAGTATGTAGCTGCTGCAGAGAGAGGTAGCTACTATTTTTGGCAGTGGGTGCATGCTCATTAGCAGACATTATTTTGCGAGTGTGCATTGCCATTATGCCAAGTTAACTTAACAAGAGTGCTGCATTAACGACATGACTCTATTATCCCTGGTAATTGTATGATTGATCACCTCCGCATTTTGTAATTAATAGCCCTAATTGGACAAATGCAGCTCTACATTATAAGCAAGCCACAATACTTACTACAAAATGACTGCATTTGGTTCTTGTCCAAGGAATTTCTTTCAAATAAACAGGAGTGTACCAATACTCCTTTACCAACACAAAGATTTGAGTTGAGTTGAAGGTTGAAGTTGAGGAAATCACTAAGTACGGTCGTAGCTACTTAGTATATAGGGAAGACAAAGGTCATCCTTCATTATGCCCATACACATTTGAGATTTCCATGTTTCACTTTCAGTTTCAATCAGATCCAACTTTTGATACGTCAGACTGATCCGTACCAACACAAAGAGCATATATCCAAAAAAATGGCTTAATTTGCATCATTGGTACTTGATTTATTCAAAGAAGTCAGTTTTCAAATTTCTTCTCATTGTTGTTGTTCAATTTAGACAAGTGTGTCTCAAAAACCACTTGTAAATGATGTTTGTGCCTATAAACTTGCTTATGGTGGATCCTCTAACAATGAAACTTGGTACATCGTTTCACCGTGATATAATTATGAGAGTTCACACAATGACGGTGATGGACTGGTCCGCAAGACACCTTTACGGTAGAAAATCGCCCATGCACAAATTATTCCGTGCATGCTCAAGTGTATTGGCTACTATACACTACGTTTATAATGTGGAAGGCCTGGGTTCCCTAGCAGCTGGCCCACCAATTAGCAGGGCACAGGCTGTGTCAAGTTGCACTTAGTCACTCTGCATTGCAGTATGTACTGCAGAGAGAGGTAGCTACTATAAAGTGCATTTTGGCATGCGCCTATCAGATAAATGGGTCACAACTTTCCATCCCTTCAGGGGGAGGGTAAATT